CAAGCACATTAGGAAGGGTAACCTGGTACTTAAAAAGTTGAAGCTTTAAGGGTAGATGACCGAGGTGACAAATTGGTCTCGATGTGGGAAAGACCATATATTGTTAAGGAGATCGTTCACGATGTGACCTACAAATTACATAATCTAAATGTTGGCATTATCCCAAAGACAAAGAATACAGATAACTTAAAGATTTATTATCAGTAGCTCAATATAAACTAAGCTTACACTTTTATTATTTTGTGAATAGCATTGCCATCCTAAGTATGTGAAATGTAAATCAAGTCTATTACCAGTAGATTGGTACAAATCGAGTTCACCCTTATATTATTTTGTACGCGAACACATGAATTAAATTATCTTCAATAAGCTTGCATTTAAGTGATTTGAGGAAATCTGACTTAGAACTTGTAATTATGTTTATGTGATCTAAGCGATTATGTAAGTTTTCAGTTTAATTGTCTAACTTTAGATCAGTTAACCATTCTCAAACTTGTGCAATTAAGAAAAAAATGATGGTAATTCGAGCTGAAACATGAAAAAAATTTTCTTTTTATTTTATTGTAACAAAATACATCGATCAAAGTAAGAAAGGTCATTACAAAAAATTAACCTTAAAGTAAAAAATTTAGAAAGTCAAAAATGAAAAATTATAGAATTCATTCATCAATAGCAGTAGCGGTAGGGGAAGCACTCTCATCAGCAGGAGTAGGAGGGATAACCTCACCTTTAATGACCTTCACATCTTTTTCTTCGAACTTCAGGGTAGCCTCCAACTCATCTTTTAGAGCTTCATATTTATCTTCCTCTTCTTTTTCCTTATATTTCTCAAGCTAATTTTAATAAGGCCTTGATCTGATATTGTTGATGTCAATATAAGAAAGGTCAAGGTTGAGAAAAAAGAATTTGAACTATACTTCATCCTTGGCCAACTGAAAGGCATCAAGTACATTCTTTATTGAGAACTCTACTTTCACCCAAAGATAATCATCAGAGGCCTTGTACTCTCTTACAGCCTTGTACTCCCCTATAACCTTTACTTGTGACTTTTCTTCCTTTTTGTCTAGAGCCTCTAACTTGGACCTTATTCTTGTTATTTTTACCTGAGCATCATTAAGCTTTAGCTTGGTTTGTTCTTTCATAGATTCAGTTAAGGCCTTGTTAACCAAGATAGCCTCCAACTTCACTATTAGCTCATTCACCTTTTTTTTTAGCTTAGCCTCCTTTTTGTAGGATACGTTGAGGTTTGATCTAATGTTGTTTAATATCTTTGAGCTCTTTTTTTGCTTCTCAATAAGGGTAGCCATATCTTACTCAACCCTCAGCATATGCCCCATGCCAAGATGAGCATGATAAAAGGGCCTGACTATTGTTCTCTACAAGTTGAGGTGAAAATTTCTTTTAGACTACATGAAAAGACCTTAGACTTAAAAAATAAAAACAATAACAATAATAAGAAACTGAGCTGAAGTTAAGAGATACTCACCAAAAGGAGGAACTGTGACTTTACATAATCTTATAGCAACATTAAGGTTAGAGATAAGGTCATCTGTTAGAGTATACTTTAACCTTATGAATATTTTCTCTGGGCTAGGCCTTAGTACGCTAGCTTTGGAGTTCTCAAGAGTAGATGAGAGGCTTTTCACCCATGATTTTTTAGTGGGAGGGGGTGGTGTTGACGTCACTATGAAGGATAAGTGCTGACCTACCCTAGCTTTTGACTTTCGATCGAAGGGAGTACATGGCATAGTGATGTTAACCACCTTGTCTCCACCACGGGATAGGGCCCAGAGCTGGAGTTTTTTTCACTTTTTTAGCCTCAGGACATGTTTTACAATGAGACATTGAAGTCATTGCCATCAACCATATTTGCAAAACCAAGCTAACAATTAGATGAAAAATTAACCTAAAACAAAACCTTATGAGGGAGAAAAGGAACGCTCAATTTTAAGTTAATTTTTCCTCTACGTGTAAAATCTAAAATTTTATCCTGATTTGACAGATCAAGGATAGAACGGGTCACTGATACATCCATAAATGAACCAAGTGTACTTTTTATATTCTAGGCCTCAACTTCGAGCTCACCATCTTTATTTGCCTTTTGCTCCTCAAGGCATAGAAAGAGCATCTTTCAATTATTTATTGAGTTTAAAAATCGGTGAGATGTTTTTTATTTTATCAAACTGTGATATAAAATTACCTACTGTCGTTGGGATGTTTTTCAAGAAAGAAAAACTCTCTGAATAAAGAAAAAAATGAAAAATATTTAGTTGTCAACAAAGAATAATAAAAGTAACTATGTATCGAATAGAATTTGGGGTGAGTTGAGTAATGATCAAATTGTAAAAATTAAAAATTGAAATGAATAAAAGATGAAGTAGAAACCTAATATCGACCATGAATAAATCTCAATATACATAAAGTTGATGTGGCTTTAGTCTATCAGTGACCCAGTTTGAAGAGTTCGACATTATTATATTGTACCTCTCTGTGGAAAAAGAAAAGTGGTACCTAAAGCACGAATGTGATGTTCTGAGCACATGTTAGGATAGTTTTTTGGATTTGTCCTACCTTTTTGCTCGCTCATCACATCCTTAGAGATCACGTCAAGGTCACACAAAGTATATATAGGGACCTTGACGAGTTTGTTTGCTTTACGGGACTTTTTCCCTCACCGTCACTTTTTCTGATCGATGTGCTCCTTTTTTCTTGTTTCTCTTTGAAACCTCTTTCGTCAGAAAAATCTGACCTTTGGCTGGAAGACGGATCCCAAGAAATACCAATGGATGAAAGTAGTTCAATCATAGAGAAAGAAGAACAATGTGGATACCCCTCATAAGTAGATGAGATGTCCAAAAAAACTAATTAAAAGGAAAGAGTATAAATGACAAGAAGTGGAAGAGATCAAAATTCACTCAAAACTCGCTTGCCTTTTGTCTGAGCATTCTTTTCATTGTGCAGTTGCCCTTCTTCAAACATCAAGTTGAACCAATAAACCATTTTTTCATAATTGTGGCCCCCAATAATAGAGGGGATCAGGTCATCATCCTGCTACTCTCGCTAACCTCCCCTTAACTCTATCCTATAACTTTCTACCTCTCCAAAAACTCATTCTAGAAGACATAGTTAGAAATACGTACTGAAGTGGGTGTAAAAAAAACTTTGAAGGTTGAAAAGCTATTGAGATCGAAAATTTTAGGTAGGATTGAGAGTAAAGAAAGCAAAAGGTGTAAAGTTGAAGCCCTACCAACCCTTTATATAAACGAGCTACAAACCAGATGGATGATACATTCCGCACCATGTGTCTGAGTAAGGGTGAGTAGACATCTTTTCATCTTTTTGTTTTAAACTTTTTCGTTCAAACAATCTCTCTTTTCATTTAATGTTGTCAGACTGGCCTAATTAGACAAATCTCAGGTCAGACCATCTAAACCGAACAACGTTGAGGGTAAACTGAAAAACCCAGTTCACCTTTAGAGTCTAAAATAAAGGCTCAAATCCAAATTTTTGAAAGAAAATACAAGTCTCACCACGATCAGATGAACTCCAACACTAATCTCGAATCACCCAAATAATTATCACCTTGGTAACCTTTAAATTGATCATGCACTTAATCTAAAACATATGCGTAAGATCGGATAATCGCTAGGTCGGACATTAGCTTAAAGCAAATCATCGTCCAAAACCAATCTTTTTGGTAATGTCAACCTTCGATGAACCATGCAACCAATTTGTTCCACATTAGGGATGTTGGCAATAAATTTAACGATCTGACACTCAAACCGCCTGATGGACGAACATAGTGTTAGGGGCATTTGATGGTTAAAATGGTATAATGGTTTTTTCTCCTTTTAAAACCTTTAGCAGACAATTAAGAGTATCGTTTTTCATTTGTGTCGATTTGACATATGATCAATGTCATCTCAGCTTAACTTTGTCTTAATTGTGTTCCTTTCAGCTTACCTATAAATATAAAGATTTAAACCCCATAAGGGCATATTCATCCCATTCATCTCTCTCTCCTTCTTATCTTTTTATTTCTTTTCACCTTGATTTTTATTGATTTGCTCGTTAGAATACAAATACAAAAAATATCATCTACTTTTAAATCTAACTATTCTTTTTTTTATGTATTTACAAAAATAACCTCAAATCGGAGCTCATATTAACAATTCAGATTTTTCATGTCTTGCTCATGGTGTGTATAAACATTATATGAAGGCGTTGAACTAATGTGAGCCGGAGAAAGATTCTTAAATCCAACCCTTTTTTTAAAGGGGACACCCTGCCCCATTCGTCGAGGGGAAAAAGAACAGTGCTTTTTTAAAAAAATTTATGTTCCAAACATAAATTATTACCCAAAATTATTAGATTAGGTAAATTGGGGTTGGTGTGAAAAAGAGTACAACTTCCATTTGTCCATACATGGGGCAGCTCTTGTCCTGATATGACCTCACATGCTTGTTAAAAATAAAGGGTTAGATGAGGTTGCAGCCTTGCAATTTACAAAGCTTTTCGTGTGCTAATTGGATCCCATCAGTGAGCCTAACGTCAAACATTCCTAACGTATGCCATGGGCCTTTGTGCATTGTGACAAATATGCCATATTTTAATTGACTTTTTGCTACTATTCATGATGAATTAGGTTTTAGCATCTCATCTCGAGATGGTAACTGATTAAAATCAATTTAAATTTAACAGAAATAAGAGCTTTCTCAAGTCAACTTTCCATGTCTGTTTCAACTTGGGTTGTTTATGGATAAAGCGAAAAATATGGACTGTCCTTTATTCACCAGCCAAGCATTTCTTTGTAACGTGACACCAACGGTCCACCTAATTCTAGCGAACAATAATCAAGCAAACGAAAGAGTAGGTCTCAAGGATTGACAATGACAATATTCACTGACGCATCTTTGTTTTCGCCCGTCTGTTCTTGGTGTTCGGGTTTTTGTTCTTCAGAAAATGACTCTGGATAAAATACACTTGGACCGTAGCAAGGATTGAGCAAAAAAATTATGACATTACCTTAAACAGTAAAGCTTCAAATTTTTGGCCAGGCTTTGACCAAGTTTAGAGGCCTGCTTCAAGGACTACCTACCAGTTTTTCACACGTGTTTTTTCTTGCCTCAGCTCCAATGCAAATTCCCAGAAGAAACCATCTCATCTCTGCAAGGGCAATGTCTCCATTTTGCATGTGAAAATAAGCTCTTTAGGCTGCATAGATTACAGTGATCTCTCATTCTCAGATATCCGTTTGATACTGAAAAAGAGAGAAACATGCAAAAGGAAAATAAAGAGAAAAAGAGAGATCCTTAACTATGACCCCAAATCATTTAACCCCACCACGTATGCGTCTCAGACTTCTCGTGAGTAGCCAAACCCAACATTAAATAACAGGAAAGAAACAAGAACAAAAGAAAAAAAAAGTAAAGAAACCCAATCCCCCGTCCCTTGCAGCTCACTCATTCACTCTTTCTATCTCCCTTTCTGTTTCTCTCTCTCAATAGCTTTGCAAAGGGTAAGATAATGTTTTATCCCACCGACTCCATTTCTTCAACTTAGAGCCTCTTATCCAATAATTAACATCAATGTCACAGTAGAACTCAGTTACCGCAAAGGGAGGGTAAAACAGGTAAGATAAATAGGAGGAAAGAGATGGATTTAAGTAGTAGAAGAGCAGGAGCTAAGAGCAGTGTTGTTGCAGGGTCAGTGTGGGAAACTAGAATGAAAAATGATGAAGTCAAAGGTGGAATTAAGGTTTTCAATGGAGAAGAAAACAGCAATACTGAAGAAAATACTGATGGTGGTAATAAAAAACTAAGCTCGAGTAAAGGCCAGACTATTGGCAGTGTGGCTGTTAGTGGCAAGAGAAAGACTTGGAAAAGTGAAAGCTTTGAAGGGTTTGAGAGGAAGAAGACATTTCAGATTGCTAAAGGCAAAACTGAGGAACAATGCAAGGAGTTGAGTGTGTCCGTTGATGGAATTAAGAAGAGCCCCATTCGGGTAGCTAAAGGAAGATCCGTCGTACATTGCAAAGACTTGAGCTTGTCTGTTGATGGAATTAAGAAGACTCCAGTTCAGGTCAACAAAGGAAGATCTGAAGGAGTTAGAGAACTTAGTAAGTCTGTTGATGGAATTGAGAGAAGGCCCAATTCATATGAAGAAGCCAAGATCTGAAGTTCCTAAAAGGTCTTCTGATATTACTGAATCTGGTGAGAGAATAGAAGGGAATTCAGTTCAATTAAGGAAGGCAAAATCAGATTCAGTTAAGGCCTCAGATCAGTCTGGTAATGGAAACGGAAATGAAGAGAATTCACTTCAACTGAGGAGGTCGAAATCCGAGGAGAGTAAAGTTTCGGTTTTGGATGATCAAAAAAAGGGGAATCATGTTTCCGTTGAAGAAAATGAGAAGAACCCAGTTGAAACAGACAAGAATGGATCTGAGTCTGAGGAGAACTGTAAAGAGTTTGGTTTGTGCCAAGAAAATGTCATTTCAAGCAGGACAAGCAATGGAAATATGGTCAAATCATCTCCTGAAGTATTAGTTGTTGAAGATGATGGTGATGGTGTTGAAGATGATGAAGAATTTTATGAAGAAGAGGAAGAGGTGGAAGAGGAGGAAATTGAAGTTAGGAATGAAAAGAAGAGCTTTGACATTAAGGAAATGAATGTACCAGAGGAGAAGCCTAACAAAGTTGCTAATGAAGTGAAGAAATTTGCAGAAGAAAAACATAACAAAGTTGTTAATGAAGTGAAGAAAAATAGCCAATTCCATAACAAAACTGCACCTTTTTCTTCAACTGTCAATAAGCAGCCTCCACCAGTTGTTAAGCGTGCTACTTCGGTTTACACAACTCCATCAAAATCTACTCCTTGTATGTGTGTGTTTCTATTTGATATTTTATTGAGATAAAAGATTATTGTGTTGTTTTATCTTTCTTTCTCTTTGTAGTTCTAAATGTTTCTCACCTAACTGGTTTCCTACAGATTCAGCCTCAGATGATTTCCACTACCAGAGTTTCCCACAAACTCAGAACAAATTGCTGAATTTAGGTAGGAAGGAATTTTGTTTCTTGGAAAGATCAATGAATTTCATATTTACAACATGTTTAATTCTTCTTCTTGTGTGCATTGTTAATCTTTCAGTTGATTTAGCAATGTGGAGAGACGTATCGAAATCGGCATTGGTCTTTGGGATGGGAACTTTTATCATCATCTCATCCTCTTACACCAAGGACCTCAACATTAGGTCTCATAAATTTTCAATGAAAAACAAGTTTTATTTTTGGGTTTTTATCTGTTTTTTTTTTTTATAATTTTAACCTCTGTTTTAAAAGAGAGTCCATTACTGAAACTCTGTTTGATCAATGCTTCTACAGCTGTATTTCTGTAATTTCCTATCTGGGACTTGTTTACCTTGCTGCCATCTTCCTTTACAGATCAATCATCTGCAGGTAACGCCCTGCATCAGATGCCATTAATTATCAAATTATTGAGTTTTAATCCATATTTTAACCTTGTATTTTCTTTCTATAACAATGCAGGGGAGTTGTGGATACAGATGAATCAACCTGTGTGCTTGAAGAAGTAGAAGCAGTTTGGTTACTTGAATTGGTTCTTCCTTACTTGAATGAGTTCCTACTAAAGCTCAGGGCACTTTTTTCTGGTGATCCTGTTACTACAATGAAGGTAATTTCCATTTTTTCAGCCATATGTTATTCATTTTCATTTTTAACATTGAGGAGGAAGATGGAAACAGAAGTTGATTGTTTGGGACAATTGCAGTTGGCAGTACTGCTGTTTGTTTTGGCCAGGTGTGGCAGCTCCATAACTATCTGGAAAATGGCTAAATTGGGTAAGTTTTTTTGGTTGAAATAATAAAATTTACCTTCCAATTTAAAGCAAATTTCTTTTTTTTTTTTTTATGTAAATCGAGCAATTTCTTTTGAAAAAACATTTCTGTCATCATAAAACCATGGGTTGTCTCCTTTTTACCGAGGACATTGTTGGCTTTTGAAAGCAATAGAGTCCCGAAGTAATGTTACGAGAAATGATAACCATGTCAATCGTTCCTAGAATTTGATTTATAATGCGAGAATTGAAATTTAAAACTTTTTATTGGGTTATGAGTATAGAAATAAATAATATATTTGTTTGTATTTGCATCTTATATATATATATATATATATTTAATAAACAAATGTTTTATTAAATAATATAAATTATTATTATAAATGAATTAAAATTAATATATTTTTATTTAAAAAATATATATTAATATATTCTTATAATAAAATTATATAAATATATAACATAATTTTATTTTTTATTTTTTAAAAATTATGAATACTAAAAATTATTTATATTTATTAAATATCTTTGACCATTAAAATAAAAATAAATTTAAAATACCTATTAAATTTAAATACAAGATAAATTATAATTTAAAAATTAAAAAAAAAAAATCTACTCGCCCCGTTCCATACGAGACATCCCATTACATTGAACACAACTGTTAAAATTCTTTCAATGACATGAATTCTGAATGTCTTTCACTTTTAACTGACGCTTGGCTGTGCTCACTGTCTCTCGCTAACAGGCTTTTTTGGCGTTTTCACCGTTCCGAAAGTATGCTCCTCTTATTCCCACCTATTAACTGCATACGGTAAATCCCACCCACAACTTTTTTTTTTTTTTGGCTCTATTATTCATTCCTTCATCATTACAATCTACAGTTCTACCGTTACAATATTATGCGTCAATCACATTAAAGTTCGGATGCCCTACAATCTGACCTAATCTTTAGATATTGTTCGTCTGATTAATTTAACGACTCTTTTGTTTCCTTGAATGATCCGAGGATGTCTCCTTGGGGATAAGATTTCATGGGTACTCCTCTTTCATGAGTAGTATTTGGTCACCTTGGTTTAAAGTCTGTCTTCATCGTTATATCAAATTTATCTTCATTATAGGATTCTGATTGGACACATTACCTTTATTATCCCGTTTTTCATATTGGAAAACCATTAGGTAAACTATCATTAGTGTAGAATTAAATTTGAAGAATCCCTATTCATTAGTCAATCAATGTTGAATTAAAATCTATATTTTGTAGAGTGAAAATTTGAGGCATGAATATTTGTATCGTAGGGCCAAAATATAATAATGGTGGAATGCAATAATAAATTTACCATCAAGGTGGGGAATGAAAGTCAGACGCATCAAATAATGGTCCATCTTTTATGAATGTTTAGTTATTTTTTGTGTGCAATAGGGTAGGATAGGATAGGACTTGCAAAGGAGAGCAGCCGGCAGGCATGTTGGGTCATAAATTATTTATTGGATTGTTGCTCTACGCCTCCAATTGGGTTGGTGGGGGTGGTTAAATGTGCTTAATGTTGTAGGACTACGCACCTGAAAACGACTTAATCTGTTATCTTGATGGGCTGGCCTAACCACCTTTTCTTGATTCGGAAATGAGTCAATTAGATCATCAAACGCCTACTTAAAAAATTACTCAAATTAAAAAAAAAAAAATTTATTTTTTAGTTGTTTGGATTTAAATTCATTGAAAATTGTAAAAAAAATTTTTTTTATTAATTTGTTAGATTTGATATAAATAAATTTATTTTAAGAAGTTCAAAGAGAAATATAATCCATAAAACTTGAAATCCTTACTGCATAACATAAAAAACTACCCAATTCTTAATTTATTGGCTGCATTAAAATTGCACGATGAGAAAAATTATGTATTGCAGACTTAAAAGTGTTTATTCAATCTCTTCTTACTTCGTGATCTAATAAAATCCAAAATGATCTAAAAATTTTTATATTTATGCGAATTCAAAGGAAAATTTTGGATACGACGCTTTTGGGATGCATGGGACTCATGCACACATAAAAAAGCCGTGGCAGTGGTCATCTTCACCCTGGTTTGGAACCTATCTTCAATTGTTGCTCGCATTTGGGCTGGTAAGAAATAGATTCACTTTTCAAAGAGATTCTAAAACTACCTTCCTAACAAAGCTGATTCAATTGATGGGTTTTCTTTTTTCTTTTTTCTTTTTTTAACCTTATTCTTGATGGTGTAAAATTGTGTAGCATTCATGCTTTTTGTGGCTCTCCGATACTATCAGCAAAAAATGGTGAAAGATGATTGGGTGGAGGATGAAGGTGGGCCTGGTACTGGAGAAACATGGCAAGGACCGATGGGAAGACATGGGGTTGGGCCACCTAGAGCAGCGCCAAATAAAGTGAAGAAAGGATCTTAAGAGTGAGCTTTGGCCCATGCCTACTATTAGGTGTTGTATTGTTTACAAGACACGTTCCAAGTTGTTGTTTTATGTTTTATGTTTTTTTTTTAATATATATCTTTATAATAATATATTTTCTCTGTTTTTTTTTTTTTGGGCCGTGAAAATCACATAATGGTTTTGGTCGAGTTGAGCCCTTTTGTTACACCTAAAAATGGGATTTGAGTTCCTCTCAATAAAAACTTTATCCAGAAATAACAGACTTTTAAATTACTGTTCAAAAAACATTGTAACACCTAAGGACGGCAATCAACCCCGTCCCCGACGGGTTCAGTTCGATCCGATCTTATGAGATCAGATTTTTTTTTTAATTTCGATTTTCGGGTCGGATCGGATATAGTTAGAGAATAATCGAGGTCGGGTCGAGTTCGGGTATGCCTAAAATTCGACCCGACCCGACATTATATAAAAAATTATTTTTTAATTAATTAATTAATTATTATATATATATATATATTTATATAATGATATTTTAAAATATTTATATTTAAAAAATAATATTTTATTAATTTCGGGTCTAAACAGGTCGGATACTGTTTACATAGTGTCGAATCAGGTCGGGTTCGAGTATTAAAAAAATCGGATATGATCAGATTCGGATATACTAAAACATAAAATCAAATCGAATTCGGAACGAGCAAAATCCGACCTGATGACATCCCTAGTAACACCTAAAATTGATTGTATTTAATTCTCCTTCTAGTCTGTCATGCATATCGTGTACCCTTCTCTGACGCTATGAGGAGTCAAACTCAACATCCATGGCCCTTCAACACTTTGGCTGGACAACTATTACAGACAGAATGCAACAAGGAAATTACATAAATTTTACTATATAAATAGTAAAATTTATGTAATTTTCTTGCATTGACCACTCAAATTCAATAAAATCATAAGTTGAGGGATTAAACAAATATTAATATTTAGATTTCAAACAAGATCAAAAGTCTTTACATTTGTTTATTATAAATATAATCATATATTAAGCACATATGAATACTATCCAAAAACAGTCTCGAACTTTACTAAAAAATAAAAATATTTTATCATATTTTATCATATTAAATTAAGACTATTAATTTTTAATTTATTGTAATTAAAACCATGACATTATAAAATATTTTGTTTCTTTTTGTTAAAAACTTCTTACTTGGATGATATAATTTATAAAATATGTTTACTTAGGTAAATAATAAAGACAATAATTAAACAATATCCATTTCAATTTATAAATTTAAGAATGATTGTATCATAAGCATAATTGTATGAGATAATATCACATTGTAATAACTTTTTATTAAAATGTACTTTTTAATTATTGAAAACAATAATGCAAAAATTATTTTAATATATTTAAACAATCTCTAAGGACTTATTTGTTTAATATTTTTCAAATATTCATTGTTTACATTTTTTAATTATTTTTAAGATCTTATTATTGCCATTTGTTCACCTTTGATTGGTTTTTATTAGTTATAGGTTTTATCCTCAATTATATATGGGCTTTATTCATTTAGCTTGAAAGAGTAGGCTTGGTAAAGAATAATATGGGTTAAGTAAACATATGTACCTTGTTCATTTGTGTTGGATGAATGAGGTAAGTATATAATGCTATAATAATTTTCATTTAAGTTTTAATTTTTAATTTTTTAAATATTAAAACAATTCTTAAGGGGTTGTTTGTTTAGCATTTGTCAAAAATTCATTAGTTACATATGCTAATTATTTTTAGGATCCTATTATTGCCATTTGTTCACATTTGAATGGTTTTTATTAATTATAGGTTTTGTCTTCAATTAACATATTCATTTATTCTTGAAAGAATAGGCTTAGCAAAGAATAATATGAGTTGAATAAATATATGGGTATTATTCATTTGTGTTAGATGAATGGGCTAAGTATATAATGCTATAATAAATTTCATTTAAGTTTTAAATTTCAATTTAAATTATTATTTATGTGTAATATAATAATCAAATTATAATTACTTTATCCATTGCACTGAAAATTTAATATTTCATAATATTTAAATTTAATAATTTATTTTTATTTTATTATAATATTATATATTATCAATAAATAAAAAATTAAATTAATTTTAATAGTTAATTTTTCGTCTTTTTCTACTTTTTTTTATTTTATTTTTCTCACTTTTATAAAATACTTTTTGTTTTTGTTTACAATGTTTTTCATTTCATTTGTTTAATTTGTTTTAAGGTGGGTTTCATAAATTTTTAATTTTTAATTCTTTTCTATAAATTTATCGATCATTAATTGAAAGTTAATTATATACTCATAAAATAACAACATCCGTCATTTTAGGGTCAGGAGGGAATTTATTCGTTAAGGTTTTTATTGAGATGTTTGGATTATTGTGGTAAATGAGCTTTTGAATGTTTTATCAATTATCATTTTTATAAGTTATTTATTTATTTATTTATTTTAATAAATTTTACAAAAATTATGTAATTAAAAATAATTTAAGAAAAGAATTTCAAAATATGTGCATAATTAATCAACATGCATTTGAAGAATTTAGTTAAAAAATTGTTATTTTTTTGGATGAAAAAAGAGAGGAAGAAAGGGGAAAAAAGTTTTTTAAAAAATAAAAAGAATATGATTCTTTTTTCTTTTATTTTGATTTTTTTCTTATTTAATGTCTTTCCTTTTTCTTTATTTTTATAATTTTTTTTAAATCTAAATAAATATAATAATTTTATTAAATACGTTATAATTTTTTTATGCATATATAATATGATTTAGTATATAAATATAATTCTAATAATGTGATCCTTTAAAATTAATTTTTAACTCCAAAAAGAATTGTAGTTTGTGTATTCCCAAAATCTTTGGTCGAATAAGTGGCAAGTAAGTTAGAAGTGATAAATCATGTTTTCCTTTTTCTTTTTCTTTTTTTTTTGAATCATGGTTACTCGGTAGAAGATCGAGTAGGAATACATTATTCAAGCTTTGAACTAGTAAGGCAAGTAGATGTTTTTTTATCATTCTTGGATCTGCATTATTGAGCAATCAATCTTATTTTGGTGAAGTCATTCTTTTTGACATGTGTGTTTTCTTCTCGGACTATAAACACTTTATTTAATTCAAGACTTAAATCAGTCGAACTCGATTCGATTTGAGTTTAATTGTTAAATTTTGATTATATATATTAATATTTTTATACTTTTATTTTTATTATATTTATTTATATATATTTATCCTTCTTGTTTTACTTTGTTAATTATCTATCTATTCTACTTATCTTAATTTTTTGTACTTTTATCTAATTATTTCAAACAAATAAAAAAAGAGCTGAAACTTTGGAACTTTCAAAATTGGGCTTGGTGATAATTGTTATTAGCAAAGTATGAGATTAGATGTTAATCTTTAGTTTTTTTAAACGAATTGAAATTGATTCGAAATTCTATTAATTTTGCCCTATAAATAACTAAGGATTCAACACAATAAGGGGAGAAAAAAAAAAACACTCACAGAAACTTAGAGAAATCATAGAAGAAGAAGATATTGACGAAAGAAAAGTAGTGTTGGTTGTGACGAAATTCGGTGGAGGCGAAAAAAGGCAGCTTGTGGCTTGGTGGACATTTTTGTACAAAATCGATAAGGGCAAAGGCCAGTTAGGTTTTAGGTTTTGTTGATCAATGTCCTTGAAGTATAAAAAGTTTAAAGAGAAGCAAAAAAACCAGCTATTGTAGAGAGAGAGAGGAGTAATGTAAAAATGAAAGAAACTTGTAGGCTGTGTATTCAATAAATGTGCATTGAAGTTGAAAAGTAAAGAAAGGTCCTCAGCCAAGCTTAATTGTGTATTAGAAAAGTTAAATTATACCGTCCTCAATCTCACATTAGAAGAATATGTGGATATGATTTGATATATAATTAGAAATTTAATCCTAAATCTGTGAGGTACTTTTTGTAAGATAAAACTATGAGATCTTTAGGTTAAAACGAACAATATCTCTCAGGTTGGGTGCAGGTCTCCACAAATGATATCAGAGTAATCATCGGTTAATGAAAACTATTTGTTACATCATGAAAGTTACTAAGTGCTACACAATGAAAGTCACGTTTAAAATCTCAATGTCTGGTATGACCTTAGTCCTGTGGTTAAACTCGGTTTGACAGAAACGTCAAGCTTAAAGGTGAGAAGATTGTAAGGTCACAATCTCACATTAAAAGAATATGTGGATATGACTTGACATATAAGTTGAGGCTTAATTTCAAATCTGTGAGGTACCTTTTATGGGATAAAATCATGAGACCTTTGAGTCAAAACGAATAATACGTCATAGGTTGGGTATGGGTCTTTACAAAAAAAGCTTGATTGTGTATTAAAAGAGTTAAGAAGAGTTAAAAAGAGTCAAGAAGAGTCTTAGACCAAACTTGAATGTACATTAAAGAAGAAGAGTTCATAGGCCAAACTTGAATTAATGGATATTCCAAACATAGGCCAAATCTTTGTGTTTAAGCACGTTTGGAAATCAAGACCAAGCTTAGTCTCAAATTTGCACCTATTTGTGGATCAAGCATTAACCCAAACTTTTGGTGGGGCATTTTGTTTTCTTTAATCTTGTACGTAGTCTAATTAGAAATGAATCTTTGCATTACCTAGGGGCATTTATGCATATAATTGTTTTTAATCCTTATAAACATCTTTGTATGTATATTATCTTTAGAAAATTTTGTTTTCCTCAATCTTGTACATAATCTAATTGGAAATAAATTCTCATTTTTTGTTATGTATGTCACATATGTAATTGTACATTTTTTCCATTTGTGTGAATGTTTTTGTATGTATATTGGTTTAACTGTTAGGAGAAATTTTTGCTTTCCTTAGTTTTGTACATAGTTTTGTTGAAAGTGAACTCTTGTTTTATTTGCTTTTTTGTTTAAAAAAAAAAAGCTTTTTGGAAATTACAACATGTTGCCTTGAATTAAAAAAGATTTGTAAATATTGAAAGTTGCTTTATGTCATCTTTTGAGTTTAGGCATATTTGACAATGAAGATCCACATGACTTTTTTTTTCTCCTTGATTAAAGAAAATTATTTTATTTTAAAAAAAGAAAAAAAAATTCTTGTGATAATAATCTTAAGAGAATTGATGATTAGTGTTAAGAATGAATATACCTAGTCATTTTAATAGCCATCCTATATTACCACACCACTTAAAAAGCTTGAATTCCTAATGTTGATAAGCCTTAT